TTTAAGATAAGCAAGTGGTTAAACTCTACAGACATTATGGAAGGAAACAGTATAACTTCCTATGACGTTCTTTAAAATAAGAATATTTTCATATGTCTATATTACTTAGAAATTGTCTCCAAAAACATGATTTATCATCATCTGATTCTACAGAATGGTGCCTATTAATTTCAATTAAAAATTACATATTTGCCAAGGCCTCTACCTTTAGAATGTAGTTTCCAGGTTGTACATCTGTAATGTCAATCCACTGGCAGTCAATGTCTGCAGCATAGGTATCATAACAGCCAGGACTCAACCCCTAAAACAAACAAAACAGAACACCTAAAATGATGGTGAATGGTCAGACTGTGCTAAAGTATACGCTGTTATTTGTAAATTAAATTTTCAGTTAGTATTTATAAAGTGCTTGATATAAAACTATAGTATATATTACCCAGCTTCATAGCACCCCTGGTTGAAAAAGACACAGTACTAAAATAAGTAGAAATATACCTGCCTTCTTAAAATTGTCACTACTTACCAGTGATAAATACAATCTTAAGTGATAAAATAGTCCTCCACCAAAATTCTGGAATATTACCAGAGCAGGAATAAAGGTCACTTGGCAATTAACTCAAATGTCTTATTAATGAAACTCTCTCCCATTTTCCCCTCTTAGAAATGACCTTCTTATATTCAGAGTACCCTTGATATTTTTGTAATGGATAGTTTTTGCAATGTTATCCATTTCTTCTCTAGATTACGATCATACTATGTAAGAATATATCTAATTAGAGGTTGTAAGTTCCCTAAGGGTAGAGTCTATGTTGCATCTTTGATTAGCTAACATTTATTATTATTATGTGCCAGAAACTATTTTAAACGTGCTGCATATGTAAATTAAATTCTCATAACTATATGAAGAAGGTGCTAGTATTTTCTCTAAATTATAACTCGTAAATGATTGAGCTTGTTTAAGTAAACAGGATCCAGAGTGCCTGACATTAACTACCATACTATACCCTATTTCACATAATCACTAAGATATTTTGTTGAATGAATGGACATACACCTAAACTAGCAAATGCCACACATTCCACTTGCTGAGATATTCAGGTCAAAAATAAATAAGTGTCTTGGATGGCCCAGGATAAAAAGAAACAAAAATTGGAATCCGGGGAATATATTATTTCTATTAGCTCTTCACAAGAAATTTTAATTCTTATATTTTTAGATGCTTAAAATAACTTTGGTAATCAAACAGATAGCAAAATCACCTTAGTGTGCTTCACTAACTGGTTTGGCTGTAGCTAGATTTGGGAAGAGTGTGGTGAGAACTGTGCTGTCATATAGCACGTGATAGCACAGACAAGTCAAACTCAAAAGTACCTGAACTTCAGCAGGGAAAACCACATTCCACAATTATTGTCTGGAATCCTACCTTGGTCCATATTTCATCTATGTTGAGTAGTAAATGTCATCTATGTGGAGTAGTAAATACATAATGAAGAATTATTTTTTTGGTGTGATAATGCACATAATTCTGATTCTGGTACATCATACGTGTGTTAGCTGCTGCTATTGTTATTACTACTACTACTACTACATTCATGACATTATAAAGGATTCATTGGATTAGATAGCTATTGAAGACAAATTTTAATAATTCTCTTTTAATTATTTTTATTTATTTTTCTTAGTTTTAGATGGGCCCGATATCTTTATTATTTAAATTTTTTCAATGAGAATTGAACCCAGTTCCTCACACGTGTGAAGTAAGTGCTCTACCACTGAGCTACAACCCCAGCCCTTAATATTAGTCATTTAAATGAACAAAACTGCTTTGAAAACAATGGAATTAGCCAGGTGTGTGGTAGACATGTAATCTCTGTAGACCTGTAATCTCTGCTACTCAGGAAGCTGAGGTGGGAGGATCTCTTGAGCTCAGGAGTTCCAGACTAGCCTGAGCAACATAGTGAGATCACATCTCAAAAATAATACAACCAGAGATAGGAAAAATTGTGCTGTATACATGTAACAAAATTTGTAATGCATTCTGCTGTCATTTATTATTTTAAAAAATCAATAAAAATAATAAATGAATAAACAAATATAAATGCTGGAATTGGCACTCTAGGATTAGCTAGCAGAATTTAAGCATGAGCTCTGGTTTTTTGAATTGGCAAACATAAAACTGGAAAAGAGACGATTAAGCATATAGGTATTTCATGTATTCAAAGACAAAATTTTAAAACAGATTAAATATGAATCCTAGCCCTGGCTATCTAAATTAGTTATTTGGTTTTTGCAAAGCACAACTTTTTACTATATTAGGGTAAAGAGATTAGGTGACTATATTTAGTTTTGTATATATTTACTATATAAACTTGGAGTCTAAGAACATGAATTAGTAAGAGTATAAATATATAGAAGCTATACATAGTTTTACACTTGAATACATTTCAGAAGGTTTATAATAAAACTAATCTAAGTCAACATTTGAGGTTTGGGAGAATGTTTTTTCCTTTAAATGAAGTTCATGGGCAAGAGACACTGATCTACTGAAAAAAAAAAAACAAATACATAAATCATTCATAATGCCAGAGCTGGTGCACAATTGTTGAGTAATACATATACAGAGGATGATTGACAAGAAAGCTACCAAATAAAATGAAGTGGGTCACTTTAAGGAATGGAAGCACCAGGAATGCTATAAATACCTACAATACCAGATTCAAATACTTTATCTCAGAGTGAGCTGTCCAAACTGTTTTTTAAAAGGGAGAATAAACTCCAGGTCCACTGCACACCAGATGCTATGGGACTTCATAAATGAATGGAAATAAAATCTATATAAACACATGTAGAGTATGTGGGTAGGTTACATCTCCTTTTGCTTGAAGAATAAGTACTATCCCCCAACCCACACACATATGTCTAATTTAACCTTCTTCCCTTCCAATTGCTATGATGGTCTAAACTCAGAGAAAGAAGTAATGGTAACATTTAGGTCACCAGAAAGCTTCCTGCCACAGACCTGAAATTTGCTTCCCAAGTTGCCAGCTGCTGATCCTTTTGTGTCCTGGATTATATGCATTTAATGCTCCTTGCCAAGATTTGGGCTGCAGTAAAATTATAATGTCCTTTTACAAATTAGGGTTTCATATGGAAATACTGGCATGGCTTTTAACTGACACACATTTTCCAATTATAAGACATACAAACTGCTTAGTTCAGCACTATTTTTAAAAAATCATCCAAAGAACATCTGACATCAATTATACTGTAGGATTAAATATATGTGTGTGGAGGAAAAAACGTGTCCTTCTGTTCTTACTTGCATTATTAAAAGAGAGAGTGTTTAAAGTGCTTTCTAAGAAACTTATTTCCTCTCCTTTTGCTAGCCTCAATCACTATTCTATTTTAAGCATAAAAGTTGGAAAAAAAAAGAATGGCTTTTCAGGGAGCAGAGGTATATTTTTTTAAAGTCATATATAATCAATTAAAGACTACAGAATGGGTGCAGATGCTATGAACCATTCAGACATTTGCAGAAAGTAAACTTCGGCTTCTCATTGTGGAACATATTATCGTGGATACATATTGACCTCCTGTGACAGTGAGAAGGGGTCACATGCAAAGTTGGAAACACTTTAAAAGTAACATGCATCACTTACCTTTTCTCATATTATTTTTCATCTTGACAAAATGAACTCAGAATGAAGTCATTTATAAAAGGAGATGGAAAGAAAGAAAACAGTGTGCTACTTTTGTCTCTAAAACCTGTGGGTTTTGATTTCAGGGTGCCAGCTTACCTGTGTGTGTGCTGTACATGCAAAGCGTCTGTGGTAGCCATAGTCACAGGATGTGTCCTCAAGACAGAAACTTGCTTTGTGACCTTCAGCCACTCTCCTCTGTGTGTTGGCATCAAGCAGATCATAGTGGCTGAATTCGTCCATGCTGTGGTAATGTCTAGTGTCCCACAAAACAAAGAAACAGTGGTCAGCTGCATACGGACAAAGCCAAGAGAACAGTAATTTGTTGGCTCACAAATTTGGATTCACATCGTAAATGGGGTCAAGTTTATCTTCTTTAAGAGAGATTCATGCTAGATTCCTCCATTTTCCCTGGACAGACATCTATCAAAATTATTAGCTTTTAACATTGCTACTAGGATAACAGACTTAGTTTGGGTATTTTTTGCTTTTTATTTACACCCTGTTTTATCTTTGAATATTAAATATAAAGAGACAATTATATGTCCTTAAATAAAAATAGCCATTTTTTTGCCATTTTTTTCTCTAATATATTTCTGTTGGCTGCCAATGCCGATGCCTCATTCCAAAAAAGAAGCAGCACATGACTCTGGAAGGTTTTTGGAGATTTTTAAAAATAGAATTCTCACATATTTAAAAATCATTATTAAAATGCAATAGGGAAATAATGGCATGTTTTACCCACCACTATTATTTAAACTGCATAAGCTTTTACTTAGGAATGAAATATTTCTATTTTATCTGAAAAATTAGAAAGCTCCTATCTATTTTTCTCATTTTGTTAGGTAGAAGATGTTGAGCTATTCATATTTTCACATAAGGAAAAGACACTAAGAAGTGGCTCGAATTTCAGAAAGTTTAAGGCCAAACATCAGGATTTCCTGGCAGTTAAGAACAACAAGGCAGATGATGGCATTACCTTATGTGAAAAATCCTTATATTTAGTATGGATCAGGGGCATTCACTCTGGGATTGATATAGCTCTTTTGAAAGATGGAAAAAGTCACTTTCAACTTATGGAGTATGTAATTTACATCTTCCTTTGAGAATGGTCTCTGATCCTTTTGATAACTATGTGTGGTTTTAATAAATGTTATTTAATGCTAACTGTAGATGATCTGGACTGTAATCAACATTTTTAGAAATCCTAACTATATTGGAGTAAATGTTATTGAAGTCAATTGCTATGCCTTCTCAAGTCTTGATAAAGCTGTGCTTGAAGTTTTAGTTCAAAAGATAATGGTTTCACTGGTGGAAGGATCTTAAAAACAGACTAATTTGATTGTGTCAAATTTTAGAAACAATTCTAAATACAAATCTTAACAAATCTCTCTTTTTGGATAAGACTTAAGACTTGTATTTGTCACATCAATAATCATCTGAAAAATGAAAGAGCAACTCAGAAGTCAGGAAGCCCATGTACTTACTGGTGACAACTGTGCCATTCCCAGGAATATCTTGGACGACTTGGTAAGAAATCAGATGTTCCTTGGTTTTTTACTCTTTGGGGAAATCTTAGCAGCACCCTGTGATCATAATCTCTTACATCTGCTCTGTAGGCTGAACTGTGATTTTGAAAAAAGAAACATTATTATATTCACAGACTTTTAACTTAAGACAAAACTTCTCCATCATATATTATATCCTTTCACCATCAGTTCCAAGAGGTTAGGGTGTTCAGTTTATTTTGTTTATTGCTGAATGCCAAGCTCCCATCAGTTCTGGGGTACTCAGAACTCAATGAATACTTCATGACTGAGTGAATGAAAGACAACAGTGAAAATTCAGAATTTAAAAGTGACAACATAATAAAACTTGCACTAAAAATCTATGTGTGAGAAACCAACTTTGTATCAAGTTTAAACATAAGAACAACTGAGGTGGAAATTATCCCAAATTAAAAATGATCTATAATTATTAGGAACTTTGAATTTAACAAAATATTTTCTTTTAAACAGATAACTAAGAAATAAAGTGAGAAAATGACTCTAAAAGAACACACATAACTTAGTTAAATAATTTTGCAACTTCACATCTTCAAAACAAGGAAACTATTGTAATATCATGAGGAAGACAATGGTGTGAGTGACACAAGACTTAGGAATGAAAATGAGGTTGAATTTCTTCTATTCCTACCCTGACAATTGCAAAGGTACAATGTGGAAGAAATGTACAAGTGATCAGCACTGTGCTCCAACTAACATATTTCATGTGAGTGTATATTCTAATACTATCCCTGACCTTATTTTAATGTTAACATATTTAGGGGACCCATCAAAACATCTTTTGCTCCCTCTGCTGGTTCCTAGATGCAAACTCAGAGAACTAATATCCTAATAGCTATTGTATTTTAGGACTAAAGGCAAAACAAAGCTGCTCATGGTCTTATTCTGGCTGAAGTAATATCAAAACAACTCAGTTAGACCTGAAACAAAAAGGGAAAACTTTGGGTTTACCAATGAGGGTGCCACAATGACAATTTTACCTCCAATCTTCTAAGGGAATAGTAACAAGCCCTTCTTGTTACAATATGTTTTTCTACATTTCTGTACAGTTGGTTTATAAAAAGTTATTACTTCTAAAGTTTAAGAATCTTAGAAAAAAAAATATGAGACTACCAGTCTCCAGAATAAAGATTAGGTCCACCACAATTTGTGACAAATCTATAGAAACTTTAAAACTTTTAATTCTTCATGCAGGTCAACATGCCCAGAAGGTCACGTATCACTTTATCTATTCCTAGCCTTTGTCCCATTTCCTAGGTCTGGTCTGCCTGAACAGAAGTAATGAGAAGCAGGCACCAAGGTGGGGGAGCCGGGCCACCGAGATCCCAGCTGGTACCTGGCCAGACAGTTTTCTTCCGCAGCGCATCTCAGGTTGTACATAGCCATCTTCTGCACGTATGTGGATGCTTGGATGTAGTAAGGGTCGGGCACCAGGTCCGGGAGACCTAAATGACAGCAGGCAACAAGCGCCTCGTTACTCCGGGTCCGGGTCCCTTCAGATCCCTTATCTGTCATCCTTAGCCCACCAGGACTGCAGGGTAGGGCTGGGGGAAGCCAGAGAATTTGCTACACCCCCGGCTGAGAAGCAAATCGAAAAATAAGCAGAAGGAGCCAGCCGTGCGGTTTGCACCAGATTCCAGAGCTGGCTCTGCAGGCTTGGGGGGAGGGGTCGAATCAGCAGGGACCGGGGCCCGCCGCGCCCAGACAGCCACGTAGAGGAGCCACATAGTTGGGGACCTGGTGCACTCTGGCTGCCCTGGGGATTGGGGGTGCTTACCGTACTGAAAATAGCCGGTGCCGTATCCGGGTCGATACCTGCTCCCAGGCCGGGGCCTCTCATACGTATCGTAGTAGTTGTAGTAAGGGTTGTCGTCAGAGTACTTGTAGGGGTTGTTGTACGGGTCGTCGCCCACCATGCGGTCCACGTGGCTGGGCGGCCGCAGGTTACTGAGCTCCGGGAGCTGTTCTGGCTCCGTCCGGTTACCTGCGCGCGAGGCGCCAGCGTCGCGGGTCCCAGAAGATGAATAGCCGGCTTGAAACCAGTGGCGGGCGTCGGGCCTGGGGCGACCTGTGGCGACCCCTGACGTGCTGGCGGTTCGCGCCCGTGCTGCGGCGGTGCGATTGTCCCGGAGCAGCAGGATCGGCGTGCGCGGCTGCGGTGCAGCGGCACCGTCTGTTCCAGCGGCGGCGGCGCTGGGGCCCCGGCGGCGCTGCGGCTGGTACTGTGAGCCCAGACTCAGCAAGCTGAACACCTGCCCGTTGTTCTCCCATTGGATCCTCTGGCGCCAGGCTCCCGGAGCCGCCGGTGGCTCACGCGGTGGTTGCTGCTGACCAGGGGCCTGCGGGGCGCAGCGCAGGAGCGGGCAGAGCTGCAGCGGCCCCAGGAGGAGCATGGTCCAGGCGAAGCGCATCTTCACCGGATTGTCTCCTCTACAGGAGATCTTGGCTCTCAGAAAAAGTTAAAACGGGACTCAAATCACGCGAAGGAGGCAGAAATCTTTAAACAGGAAGGCGAACAGAGTGCCGTTATCTCAGTACCCACAAAGCAGTGCCAACGGTGGGCTGGAGACCCTTTAGACAGGCAGAGCAGCTCCTCGGACGTGGCACCCGTCTTTCCCCTTTCCCAGTCCTTCTGGAAAGCCACGGGGAGCGGCGCGGCGGTCCCGGCGAGCGGGCAGTGTCTGGAGTGAAGGAAGGAGGAGAGATTTTAAACTTTCTGGCACGTTTGCAAAGTTACACAAGCTGTTCTGGCCCTGCTGCCCCTCCACTATTTGTTCACGTAATGCGATTGGAAACGTGCAAGGCGGACAGCTCTTCGTCTCTGCCCCTCCCTCTTCTCCCTGTCCTGTCCTCCTCCCCCCCACCCAGACACGTTGCACTGGGAGCGTTAAGGGGAAAGAACAAAACGGAACACACATCCTGAGACACGGTCGGCTTAATCTGGGGCGAACATGCAGGAATTTCAAAAGACTCAGACAGACGGAGGCAGCCAGGCCATGGGACGAAGCCAAAATATGCATGGAGAAAAATGCTATTAGGTCACCAGCCCTGGAGAGGCGGGAAGTCAGGAGGTGGGGAGGTGCTGGGGGCGAAAGTGTGTGTTGTGGGGGGGGGGCGGTTGTGACTAATGCACATCCATAAAGGAGTTAACCAGACAGATTTCCCAATGTACACTCACTCGATTTATGGGCAGAGCCCTCAGCAAATAAACCCCAGGATATCAAATTTTGTTTTTCTGAGGGTAGGTAATATGAGAAATGGGTTACAAATCTGTTTCCTACAGTGAATACTTTAATAACAAAAAGTCAAATTTACAGAGAACAAAGCTTGCTAATGCTGAACCACTGAATAAACCTCGTTTTGAAAATGCCGGCCTGGTACTTGAGTGAAATGAAAAATCATCCTTCATTTCCACCACAGACCAGGGAACTAGAGCAAGTCTGCCTAGGAGAGTACACAGAAGGCATTCTCAAATAAACATTTTTATCTGACTTTTTTCTTTGTCTTTCCTACATCTAATTAGACTTTTGATTTAAGAAGTTTAAATCACCACTGTTAAATATTGAAAGTCAATAACGTATACCATGGTGTTTGATTTATTTTCCAACCCAAACAAATGGTTTGTGAAAGAAACAACCCTGGAGTTCAGAGTTGGTAAAAAGAAGAGAGTGGGAGTGGCCACAAGGAGAATGGGAGGGCAGATTAAACTATGCTGACTGGAAAGAGATGCTTCATAGACTAGTTATTCACATACCATTCAATATTGGGCAGTGCTGGAGTCATTTCAAAGAAAAAATGCTACTAAGTAGTTTGATTTAATACTACCGGACTTTAATGACATTTATTGATCTCATCTCTGAGCTGTCTGCATATATTTGGATATTCACCTGTTTCTGTTGGTCTCTGTCTTTCCATAACAAATCACTATATTTTGGTAGTATGGTATACATCTGCTGATTTGACCTCTTCACATCCATTTTCCTTTTCTTTCTGTTAAAAACAACTGTATGTTCTTTGGGAAATTTCCCCTCCCCAGTGGCATGGTGGGACTGTCTGAGCTTTCATGATATTTCCCCCAATTCAAGCAAGGGTCTAGAAATCCTAGTTTGGCTAATCAAACCATCTTCCTAGAATTTAAATCTAAGTAGAAAGACACATGGTCAAAATTATTGCCCCTGTCATTATGAAAGAAAGTATATGTTAGGGCTTGAATGTAAATCCCCCCTGAGTGGTACATTCTAAGACCTAATTCTTTAGCTTTTCTTTCAATTTTTCCAATGCATTACTTTGTGGCTTAACATAGTCAGAATCAATTTCTGTTGTTTGCCACCTAAGAACTCTGACTGACACTGAGGGGGTTGTGGTTCTTTCAATTAACCAAATCACATGATTCTGAGTCCAGGATGATGGTTTGGCTCTTTTTGAGTCAAATTAGATTTGCTTTGCTCATGACCACACAGCATCCTTGGTCACAAAGGGATATTAGACGGAAGCTTGCCAATAGATTGGCAAATCTATTGCTTGTATGATGAAGACAAAAATTCAAATACAAATCCTCTCATATCAACAGTGAATTTTCTAAATAACAGTCAGTGACATCCCTAGCTGTCATTTTAGAGACTTGCGGCAGTGCTTAAAATTACTCACTTTCTCCAAACCCACTAAGGAAGATGGCATAAAAAAAGAAGAAACAGGTGTATACAATTTAGACAGACAGATGAAATTATAGGAGAAGCAGGAAGGGATAGAGTGTAATTATCTCTCAGCTGAAAAGGCTCAGCTTATTCTCCAGAAAAAAAGCCTGAAGCTGCTGTTACTTGACCACAGACTCTTAGGGGAAGACCTCTGCTATGTAAATCATACCGTTAGAGTGGCAGGCAAAAGCAGTTCCTGGACAGGCACAGTGGCATATACCTGTAATCCCAGTGGCTTGGGAGGCTGAGGCAGGAGGATCACAAGTTCAAAGCCAGCCTTACCAACTTAGTGATAGCTGTCTCAAAATAAAAAAGAAAAAGGGCTGGGGATGTGGGTTAGTGGTTAAGCACCCCTGGGTTCAATCCTTGGTATAAAAAAAAGTTTCCTATTTTGTATGGCTGATTCTCCATTTCTTAGTTATCTGTAATATTCAAAGATTAACTTAAATCTTTTCGAATGAACTTTTACTAGTTTAAAAATCTCTGATTTTTTGGAATATTCCAGTTATTTGCACTATTTTCAACTCAGTTACTACAATGTTTGATTGTAATTTTTAATATTTGATCAAATAATTCCTTTAGTTGGACTTTAAAAACATTAGGTATACTGTTTTTGTGAGTTAAAGCCTTCATGCTACAATTTTAATTTTTTTACATATTGTCCAACAGTAAAATTCTATATACATTTATTTTGGTTACAAGCATTTCTTTGGACACATTTACCCTTAATTGTGGTATACCTTAGTGATGATTTCCACACATAAACACTAAAAATTGATAACTGAATGAGGTTGACCTTTTTTTTTCAAATTAGCTTCAACAGACTTAAAAGAGTTTTATCAGAATATAAATAACTGATTAGAACAGTAGTGGTGAACACTACTCATTTTCTTTTAAAAACAGATACACATATACAAATATCTCAGGGGAGATGACACATAACTCATTGTCACATACTCTAATGAAAAGCTTAGTTCAATTTCTCTCTCTTTCATTTCCTCTAAACTCTCTCTGGATTACCACTCAGCCAGCTGAAAAACAAACATGTGGCCACCACATTGGGGACAACAGAAAGTGTCTGCAAGCCCTGAGGGAAATAATCTAGCCACATCATGCTTTTTGTTCAATGGCAAAACTATTATTTACAAAATTAGAGAAAC